ATCAAGCAACTAGGGCTACTTGAGTTATGCTTTGTGCTGGGATCAAAATGTAATGTTCTCATTGATAATGGTAATATTAGCTGTTTCCCTACAAGAAAACATTTGATATTCACTGACCAAGCAGCCAGTACTGCTTTCAGTTAAAATTTATAAAATCTTTCTTTTCAAACAATCTTTTATTGATTGATTCATTTTCTATGGCTTATCAACCCTTTGCAGGTTATTTAAATCCAGAAAACATTTAGATTGTAAGAATGTTTTTTGGTAACAATGATTTAGTGATACAAGTCTTACTAATTAACCCATAGCTTTGGGGAGAAGAGGTGCATTCATACCTTTCCCAATGGTATTTGTACATAAATGTATATAACAAACTCAACTGGAATTGAAAGTTGACTCTGATTAACAATTCCAAGCCATTATCCATTACACCACTCGCACATCTAACCTTACAGCACCTGGTATTCTCAGTCACCCTTCTAGATACTGGCCATTCTTGATGTTGCTTAACTTCGTATAAGGATGATAGCAGTCTTGGAGAATATATAAAGAAATTAACTGGCTTGGGAACTTGGCTCTCCAATTAACAATTCCAATCCATTATACGACTCACATATCCAAGCTTACAGCACTTCGTATTCCTAAGCAGTCTCTCATCTAGGTACTGATCCTGAGTATACTGTTTGAGTCCAAGTATATCCCCACCAAAACAGCCTACAAAAATAAAATGTTAGTTTTTGAATTTGGTAGCATAGTAATTGTGAGTTCCATCCCTGAGCTGGATAGTGGAAATGTACTCAACAGAAATGAGAATAATAATTAGTGAGCTCTGTGGCTGGCCATCCATGTCTGAATTAGGTAGCTACCTAATCCCTGCTGCAAACATTTGATCAGATATATTTTGAGTTTGTTCAACACCCATTGAGCCAACCTATAGTTTATACTGCAACTATACTGAACAGACCTTAGTTACAATTTCTGGTAGAGAGCACATAATCCGGTTTGATCACGAGATTGAACAAGGCCATTACATTCAAACCCTTGGTCATGATGACTTGTGACTTCCTACTAGTATAATTTCCGAATAGTTTAATTTATACAATTTCGCTCACAAGGCTTGGGTCAACACATGGGGTGTATTTTGAAGATACATCCCGACAGTACTGCACACTAGTAGTGTCCTTTGTGGTTGATATTATCAAGAAGTCACCTCCTTGACCATGGTGAGATTTGAACCTGGTTCTTATTGTCAGAAAACTAACCACTTAGCCACACATCCATTAACTGAATAGTACTAAAAGACAAGTAACCAAGATGAGATTTCCTTAGACATGGACTGTGGAATGAAAACAATCTACCAAGATCAAATAAAGAGTTCATTTCAAATTCCCTGAAGATGACCAAAATCAACAGAAGACACAAAATAATGTTGTGACAGTATTAACAAAGATAAATTTAGTCTGAATGTAAATGAAGTTTTTTGTTTGTTCAAATAGTTACCCGTAATCATACTTCTTTGCAGCAATATTAAGTAGCTACTTTGAAAAAAACGCTTACAAAAACTACCATTTGTCTTATTGTTGCATACTTTTATGCTCATAAAATCCATGTGAAGAATTATTGTACACTATTACAAGACCAGAAAATCTTAGATTGCCAGTTTGAAATTTATCAGCAAAAAAATTAAAAAATCATTTACATTCAAACTAATGTCTTTTGTTGTTATATTCACAATGTTTTTGCTGTTGTAGTCTCTGGCCTTCATCAGAAATCTGTTAATACAGGTAATCGTCGGGGAATTTCAAAATGAAACCTTTATCTAGGGGAATAGATTATGATCATTCTGCTATGTCTAGGGATATCTACTCACATTTTTCCTTAGTACTGCTTACCCCATGTCTATGGATATTACATTTAAAAAAAAAAAAAAAAAAAAAGAGAGAACGGCTCAGTTATTGATTGCCCTCTTACTGGTTAACTTTAGATTCATTTATTCACAGCAACTTCTACTTTGGAAAAAAAACACTATTTTTTAAAGTTTCAAGAACAGCCAGTAGTCTGATGGTGACAACTTAGGGCTGTACAGTGAGTGTGCAACAATACATGACACTTTATGCTTTATCTAATCTATACAAGAATTAGATTAGACTAAAAAAAATAAAAAATAAATAAAATATTGCTAGCATGTCTGACTGGAGTTAACCAATCCTCATTTTCCAGACTTTTTTTTTTTTTTATAGAGTAATGGATTGATTTTCTACAGCTTATTAACCCCATAGCAGGAGCATGAATAGGTGAATTCATACCCTTCACACTAGAAAGCAATTATCAAAACTGACATTGACACCAACAGGCATTGGACTCAAGTAAGCAGATAGAAAGTTATAAATATGACTGGTTATGCTATTATTTTAAGTGAATATATATATATATATATATATATATATAAATTCATTTTTTTTACTTGGAATTGTTCAATGTTTACATCATGCCAAAAGCTTGCCTACGGCATAAAAACTGTTGCAGTTGGAGACCTGCTGCTTGCTTTGTTACCCTGTTCCATATATAACATTATTGCATGCAGACTAATAAGAACAAAAGCCAATCTTATCTTTTCATGTGTAACATTACATTTTATTCAAATTCAAAGTTCAATTAATTATTGTCAGTCAGTGCAGTTTTAAGTTTTTTTTTCTCTGAATGTGTATTCTACATCTTGCCTAGAATGAGATTTTTATTTTATCCTCTTAGATGTGTGCTTATATATCTACCTGACATGTTCCAACAATCACCATACACTTTCTCTCACACACACACACACACACATCCTAGGAGTAACTGCGTTGACCATGTTGGGACCAGCCATTGACATTGAGTGAAGCAAATCTGCTCTTGGTGGTTATGAGGTCATCTATCAGGTCAACCTGCTGATACACCCACTTCTTTCTCTGAAGCACACTGAATACAAAATATATTTTAGTATTAACTGAGGGAGTCACATATTGCATGATCAGGTGTTCTGAAATGACATAAAAATAGAAGAACCACCTTTGATTTGAAACCATAGAAGAAAATATTAAATAATAATGTTCAATGCATCCCTTTTAAAATTCTGACAAGAGCACTAATATATAAGAGATTTAAGCAGTAAATTCATCAAAACAATTGTTAAATTAGTAAGCTCTGTCTAATTTGTTTTTAATGTTTTTTTTCCAGTTAAGAAATTGTACAGAAGGAAGTATATTAAAATGTGTATAAAATATTATATATAAATATTTTATATATTCTTTTCCCAGTATGGCTGAGATATATGTAGCTGTTTTAATGAGTTCAGATTAATTTGAATCCTGATGTAAAGGGGGGGGGGTCTAGCCAATAAAATCCTGTCTATAAAACTGACAACATCGTAATTGATGACCAAGAAAATTGGTAAAATATGACAAAATTAAACAGAGCTTGTCAGTTGAATTTAACAAGGTGTATGTGTATTAGTTAAAAGAAAAGTCAAATTGACAAATTTTCTGTTTTCAAACATGTTCATACAAAACGAATTAAAAAAGAAAGAAAGAAAGAAAGAAAAGCAAGTCAGGATTGAAAGATCAATGCTTTTAATTATGAAAATTTATAATGGACAGATTCAGAGGCAGTAAAAAACTGCTCTTTCCAAAAATTTCAGATACTAAAAAAAAAAAAAAAAAAAAATGGAGATGTTTAACTATGTCAGTGAAATATGCTATGAGATGGGATATTGCACCAAATATATCAGGAACTTAAGCCAACAAAATTTAAACGGGCAGTTTATTACCATAAACTACTTTTTAATGAAATGCTAATGTATAATCTTAATTTCCAAATATTAAAAAAATTTTTTTTACATAATTAGATCAGCTGTGAGAATTTTTTAAATTCTTTCTAGATTTACAAGCACACTAATGTAATAAAAGTACATTTACAAAAAAAAAAAAAAAAGTTTATAATAAACAAATTCCACCTGATTATATCAATCCCTAAATGTAAAATACAAAAATTTAAAATTAGATTTTTTTTAAATTGTGATTCTGATCTAACCTCATATTCTGGACATGCAAGAACATTTTTAACAAATTATTTAAAAAAAAATATTGGGAGGAAGGTAAACAGATTTTCCTGGAGTATTTACTAATTACATTTGAAATGATTTATTTTCATAGATATTATGAAAGAAAGAGTTAAGCCAAGTGACACAATCTTAACAGGAATAGCAAAATAAGATTTTTTTTTTTTTTTTTAAGTTTTCTTTTTCTTCTACCTTAAAAGAGTGCCTTAAAGTAAGTGCATACACAGAATACAAAGCCAAATAAAAGATTTTACAAAGTGAAGAAAATTCCAGAATAAATTTTCATTATCTAATTTTTGTTTTTGCAAAAATGTCCCAATTTTTTTCTTTTTACTTTAAAAAATTCTGTATGTTTTTATCTCAAATGTTTTTTTCAGCAGGCAATATTAAAAAGATGACAGGCAACAAAAGAGTTGGCCTGAGAAGACAATATCTGATACAAAATAATGCAGGTGAAAGGCAATCATGGATTATAGGGAAGGATATATATATATATATATATATATATATAACATTATGGGGCAGGGAGGTTAAATGGAAATTGAAAATGAAAACAAAAATAATAATAGATGATAATATGTAATTTTTAATATATTTTTTTTCCTTTATGAAAAATTTAGATATAGAATTTTTTTTCATTTTAGCTTTTTTTTCATTTTAGCTTTTTTTTCTAAATGGTGAAATCATGTGTGCATAGGCAATGATGATGTTGAAAAAGGAGGTGACATTTTTTCTTTCTCTCCATGTTCTTGTGTTGGATCTGCAATCACTCTCCAATTAGTAATCATGGTCTTGTAGGAGCAATAGAGGAGATTTTGGACATCAACTTCCAGAAATTAAATTGGTTGGCAAATTCTAATTTTGACTACCAAGACATCTGCAATGGAGCAGCAATCAAAGTTCTTTACCCTTAAAAGAAGAAAAAAAATAAACATGCGATAACATTAAAACCTTAGAATTCCTGATATGGAAAAAGACAAATACACACTCAATATCCTACATTAAAATATATAAAACTTTTTTTTTTTTAATAGATAATTTAAAATTATAATAGATAAATTCAAAGTTATAAATTTCAACCAAAAGCAGTACTGGCTGCTTGGTCAATGAATGCCAAATGTTTCCCTGTAGGGAAACAGCTAATATTGCCATTACTGATATTTTAATAATAATTATCTCTAGTCTTATACTGAGCACTATTAGCAGAAACTGTTTAATTTTATATAGCTTGTATTGTATAATTCGATATATAAACTCCTATTGATACTGGAAAGAGCAACACCAGTGAAAAAATTGTTTTAATAGATTTTATAAATTTCAAATGAAAGTAGCACTGGCTGTTCAGTCAATGAATGCTAAATATTTCCTTATAGGGAAGCAGCTAATATCACTGAAACTAGCACTGCAACCACCAAACTGTATGTATTTAACAATGGTTGTGTATTATTAAATGGAGTTACAAAAGATTTTAGGATAAGATTGAAGTGTTTGAAGGTATAGGTTTCAAACAATTTGAGACAAAGTTTAGGCAGCCAATCTTATATCTACAAAAGTAGAAAGCCTATACCTTGCTTGATGAACAAGTTTACACATTTGATATCTAATATCTGAGGTAACTTTTGAAGGTAAAGAACACACCTTCAAAATTCAATTAATCCACAAAAGACTTTTTAAAAAAGGACCTAAAAGCAACTCCACCTATATTTTACATACATGATCCATTTCAAATTAATATTATTAGCAATAAAATTACAAGCTTGATACAACTGATTCAAGGGGAATATAAATGAAAGACAACAAACACTAAAAATAAGTTTCTTTTAATGCTTTAAAATTTTTAAAGTTAAATTCAATTTTCCATTCAAAAGAATTCATAGATTTCAAATGAGAATTCTGACATGTGACATTATACCAATGTGAAAAAGAGTTTTTCAACAGAATAGAACAGAAAAAAAAATCTACAGAAAATTGGATCTATCTTATTCAAATTAACTATGAAATATAATTAACACAGATATTACAGAATGTGTTATATTGTTATAATTGTCCATAATATCCAGGAAATAATCCTTACTAGTTTTCAATAAATCTTAAGACAAGTATCACTTAAAACAAACAGGATGAAAGCAATTTTTAAAAAAATATAAAATAATTAAAAAAAAAAAAAAAATGCTTTGTTAAAAAATTCTTATTTTTTTTTTTTTTTTTTTTTTTTAAAAGCAATTCCTTGCCAATATAAGTTAAAAGAGGAGAAAAAATATTAAAATTAACTGAAGTGATGTTGTACTAGTTATTCACCTTGGATAAAAAATTATTTAGAAAACTTAAGTTGTTTTTTGACTAATTTATTAATATATCAACACTGTTTAATACTAGAACTCATAAAATAGAGATGTCCCTACAGGGTTGATAATAAATAAAATCAAACTAATTGTGTTGGCTCAAAGAAAATGTCTTATTTACAATCAATACATGGGATCAATAATAAATGTGTATACACACACACACACACAGATGCTGAAAAGTTCTTGATTGAACTTAAGTCACCAGATTGGCTGAGAATTTTTCAACACTCATGTGCATGCATGAGAGAAAGACAGACAATTTGAACTAGTAATCGCATTTTAACTTGCTTGTATTTATATCATAGTTAATAACCATTAAATATATATTTTTTTTAAATATTTGAATTTTATACTCCTTCATGAACCCTGTAAAAAGCAATAAATCTTATAGAATATGAGAATATCTTAGAGAATATGGTTAAAAAAAAAAAAAAAAAAAAAAAAAAAAAATTTTTTTTTAAAATAAATACAAACACACACCTGATTGTTATGCTGAAGCCACCATAAGCCTATCTCCATCTGCATGAGCTGGCCTGCAGCCAGACATTGAATTTTTTCAGTTGCTCAATCTCTCAGCCAAATAGTACATGTCCCTGATCATTCCCTAGTATTTCTGATGGACACACTTTTTTTTTTACCTTATCTGTTCCTTATCTCCTCTCTAGACTTGTTGCATTTTGGAACTCTGTCCTCTTGATAATTTTAATCACGTGATAGTGTCTGTAAATATTTCTTTCCAATTGTCTATTAGGCAAGAACCCCATATTCACAAAACATTTTGTTACCAAAGCATTGATGGGGGACTTAGTGATTTTCTTCACAACGTCCCTTGGAGTGAAATCCTTAATCTTCCCATCGAAAATTATGCCACTGAGGTTTATTCCACTAATGTGGTAGTTCAGATCATAAGAGACACTTTGTGCCCGCTCGTCATAATTTTAAATGTGTCCTCAACAAAGACAAGTCATTGAGAGAATTGGAGACACTGACTCTTGATTACTGCCGGCTCTCTAAGTCTAAAAGTGCATTAAACAAGGGTAAATCATCAATACCTCTTCTCTTCAATCAGTTTGAAGTGCTGTCTTTTACTGCTGATAAAGCAGAATGTTTGGTGCATAAATTCTCTTCCAATTCCATTCAACTTATCTGGAGTATCTTTGCCTGAACTTCCACCTAGAACTACACAATATGCACATAACTGACCATGGTTTCCGCTATCATCTTCAAATGCATGTGTATTTGATGGTATCCCAGCAGCTGTCCTAAAGAAATGTGATAAGGTTCTGTCTAAACTACAATAAATGCCTTGCTGTGTCTTGCTTTCCAGCTTGTGGGAATCCTCTTCTGTAGTTCCTGTTTTTAAGAACTCAGGTGAAACTTCTGATCTCTCAAGTTGTCTTCCTTTTTTTTTTTTTTGGGTAATCAACCCTGCATTGATTAAGCCTCTCACTCTGCACAGGCTTCTTTCAAATAAATAAAAAGGCTTTTGCTTCCATAGGTCAACTGCAGATGTGTTAACAGTTATCACTGAAAGAACTTGTCAAGCTTCAGATAAGAATGTTGAAGCTTGTGCTCGTTTTTCTTAGTAAATTTCAATACCTATTTTGATCTCTTCTACCTGAACTAAAAATAGGAATATAAAGGAAAATAACTTACAGAATAACCAGCCTTTCCTCTGTTGAGCAGGAGTCTAAAAATGAAAAGACAAAAAGAATATAATGCATGAGACTTGTAACTTCAAAAACAAGTATTAATTAACATCCAATCAGCATAATTCATAACCCTTTGAGCCCTGCGTTCCTGAAAAATTTTAACCCTCCTGCCTGAGCTCCTGAATCAAAATTCGCAAATAATTGCTATGTAATGTTTCATGGTAGATATAAAAATAGTTATAAAAACATAAGCATTATACTTAGCAGCAAGAGATTGTATGCCTTCACTTTATAGCCAGAATTCTTTGTATCCCAGTCTACCCAAATAAATTGACCAATAGCAAAACACGACAAGTGTTTACCCACTGTTCAATCAGTGGCTGGGCATTAAGTCATTTTTCTCTACCACCGGTAAAGCGGTTGTCAGGGCTCAAAGGGTTAAGAACTCATTTATAAATTAATCTTAGGTGATAAAATGTAGCATTTTCCTGGTTTACAAAGCAACTTTCAATTTTTACATTGTGAGAAGGTATAATATACAACCATGAGAAAGCTAGCAATTCTAATTTACCTTTAAGAATTGCATTTTATTGGGGGGGAGTTTTGATTAGACATACACTATGAACTACTAAAGGAAGTTTTTTTTTAAACTAAATATAAATCTTGGAAAATTTTAAAAATTAATTGAAAAAGGATAATTATTACAAGTAAAATACATTGTAATGAAATTAATAGTTCATAAATCTGAACACATTTTCTATATTATGAAAAAAATGAATACTTTGTCAAGAACAAAATTTCAGTGCAGTGGCATGCACAACAGAATTTGATAAGTGCTGTAAAAACATACATAAATGTTAGTGGCAAATATAATAAAAAAATATTTAAAGTTCTTTCAAAAGTAAAAATAAGCAAGTTGCATAAAAACTGGCAAAGGCAGATGATGAAATATATCAGCCTGGAATGAAGGAATTTTATGACTGGATACATGTTTAAAAAAAAAAAAAAATAATGAAGGGAAGAGAAATATTAATGTAAATAAAGAGAGAATAATGGTAATAAATTGCAGGGTTAAAATACATGAATAATTAGTATCTTCAGTAAATTTAAATACAAAATATATTTTAAAGAATTAATGAGGAAAGAATAAGATTAAGATAAAAGATAATCAATAAAAACATTTAAAAAAATAATTACCTCCCTTTAAAATTAAGTTTTCTTTTAAGACACAAGGAGAGAATTTTTAACTACTCACATTCTTTTATGACAAGTCAAGGTTTTTGTCTTTCCACTAAATGAATTAGGTTGATATTTAAGAATTGACGGATTTACCCCATTGATAGCAGGAAAAAAAAATCCTTTAAATAAGAAAAATATTTTTTGTAGCCTACAGAGATATATTATCAGTCAATTATGTGCCATACGTGATACATCATGTATCGTTCGATACATGACTGATGAGGCATATTTTTTCCCAAAGTGGGTTGCCATTTCTTTCTGTGGTAGAGTAGTTGCCATCCAATCTGTCCTGCTATTTACCCATAACTGGGGAGAAAAAAAAAAAGTGGATTCATATCTTTCTCAAGGGTATTAGCACGTGAGGGAATGTAATGGCAATAATTTCTCCAGTAATCAACTGTTAAAAGTTGGAAATTTATTTAAAATTTTGTAAATGTTTAAGAAAAAAATTACTATTGGAACATTTAACGTTAGAAGATATGTGTGGTTGCGCGGGTGGGGGGCGGGGGCTGAGAGAGAGAAAAAGAAAAAGCAAAGCAGGAATTATTGGCTTGGGATATTGATAGCAATAATATTGGTGCAATGTTGTCTCCAAGAAACCAAAAAACTTGATATTAATATCAGAGTTAGAAAGGACAAGTTAATAACTTTGTAAACAGTAAATGTTATGGAAATGGTTCTGTCATCAATAACAAATGGAATAACATCCATGGGCATTGGACAAACAACCACAGCATAGGCATTGTACTATGCTATTAAAAGAACTATCAATGAAATTCATATTATTATTAATTTAAATTATCATTATTTTAAATACAAATATTTTAATATTTGTATATTAAAATTCTGGATTTTGAAAGTATACAAGAGCTAGAAATTAATTTTTAGAGATGTTTTATCACTGCTTATTGATTTTAAGACTAAGTTTTATTTGACAAATTCAATGCTTGCTCCTGAGAAAATGAGACTAAATACATGAAATTGTCATATTTTAAAAATAAATTACAGAATTTTAGTATAAGCAATTTTTAATATATTGTAATATTAAAAGCTGCTAGTTAAAATACTGACTTATCACTGAAAGTATTGAATATTATCACTAAATATTCGTTTATTTCCTTTAAAGATATCATTTTTGAAATTTTTGCCTAATTAATGATCCTGAGTCATATGTTTGAGTACTGATAAAATAACATGAACAAAGTGCAACCCATTTTCACTATTTTGACTTGATGTATTTATATTTAGAATGATCTATTGGAATCCATATTTTTAAGGTTTAGTTTCTTTTATTTTGCATTCTGTGTGCCTCTGGGTCCCCATGCTACTACATAAAAGGGTATTAACGAAAAGGACAATTACTTTTACTTATTTGTTTTTAATCAGAAGACAGGGACAGATATGGCAGCAGGAGGAATAACATCATGGGAACGCATGTTTGCTTAGCATCTGTGTGTGTGTGTTCTTAGTCAGCCTCTCAACCTGAGTGTGGGAAACATGATGCTTCAAAATTCTTATGGCCCTCTATTGAACTTGCATAATTTTGGACATATCCAAAATTCAGACAAAGGCAATCCATCATTATCAGAATACCATGCCCACAATCAATCACTGACCATTCTGGCTCTGACCTTCACATTCTGTAACATTTGTCTAATTAAAAATTTTGTAGACCATATGAAAATTACATTCTTACAGTCTCATAGTATCTAGACTATTTTGAAGCCAAAAATAGTTTATTTGTATAGAAAAATCATTGGGATACCAACTATCAGCTTCATATTTTATTAGGTATCAAATTTATAAGGTGCCAAAAATCAACAAAATTATGATTTCAGCATGACAAGCTGCTCTAGAAAAATGTTTAACCTCAGAAGGAAATTTGTCCCTGAAACAAAACTTGTCACATTGTTTTCAGACATGTATGAATGCTAAAAACAGACTAATTGGTCTACTGATGTGATGAAAATAGAAAATTTTTTAAGGATGTTAAAAAAAAAAAAAAAAAAAATCTAACCGTAATAATCTACTATGTCATAAATGTAAAGAAAACTAATTTAGATGATGCATCTACCCTACTTTGTAAATGAGATCTCATAGTGAATAGTATGTTTCCATTTCAGTCTCTTATAAAAATGAAAATACATGACACAAGCTGTTTATATTTTTGTAATCTACAGTAAATATTAACTATTGTCACAAAGTTTCAAATCTGTACCTGCAATATCCTTGGAGTTATGATGGTCAGAAATTCATTGAAAGCCTTATTTAGCAAAACACAAAAATGCAGTGAAATTCAAATTTAAAATAACTATTAAAAAGATACAGATCTAATATTTGGGATTTATTAATAAATCTGATCAAGGAACACCTGTAAATTTCCAAATTTTTCTGAGTGTTGGTTCACCTGTGACTTGATTTGAAACTACTCATTAACTAACTACATACATACAGGAGAGGGGGGGGAGAGAGATTTATAATGCTACACAATGATAGGCAATAGATGTTAATAAGCATATCACTCATTAAATAGCTCAAAATTCCAATTGTCATCTTGTGATGAGAAAATAGTTTTGCATAAAAGAGAGTGATGAGAAGTCACCAGACATACTCAGTCCCTCAAACTATTCTTGTATTTATTATTTAAAATTCCTTCTTGGTCAAGCCAAGAGCTTTTCAGCACCCTATTGTAAGTATACAAATTGAAGTATTATTGCAGATTGTGAAAGACCTGATAGCCAAATATATTCTTACCTCTGTATAGTTTATCTGCAAAACCATTTCAAACAAATGTTTTTATTTTTGTAGGAGCACAAAATTTTATTAAAGTGATAAACACGGACATGTTAAAACAAGATAATTTATAGCAAACAAAAATAACCAGAAAAAAAAAAAAAAAAAAAAAAAAAAAAAGAAGATAAATTGGTTTATTGGGCTTCTCTCATCCGAGCTGAGATAAAGAACAAAAATGTGCACAATGACTAAAAATTATCATTAACATGACCGTTTTTATTACTTTAATAAAAATACTCATAAAATAAAATTTAAACCAAACACTAACAGAGGAAAGTAAAAAAAAGAAAGATTTAAAAGCAAGTTATAAAAGATGGTTAAAATAGTTTTATAAACAAAACTTCTCAAAAGTTACGTTTGTGTTTTGACCCAGCTAAAAATCAAAACTGCCATCATGATAGAAAACATTTATAATCAATTTTATTTTTTAATGATTACGTAATAGGAAAAAAGTTTTATGAAAATAGCGTACAGATTGATATTTAATATAAAATAAACACTTTTATATACTTGGACCAGCATGCTATTTTGGTTGTTATACTAGTGTTTTTGGTCATCTTGAATACAACAACTGAAATATTGTAAGTATAACCAAAATGAACTCACTAGTCCAAAATCAAAAGTGACGTCTATGTTGATGTGACAACATATGCATATGAAGGAAAGGGAACACTGAAAATTTTATATTTAAATGTTTTCAGTATATTAGTTGATTTAATTTAGTTTCTTTATGTGTTGTCATCACTTTTGTCAATATTTTCCCTAAAATTGTCTTTGACATATGAAAAAGCTGCAATAATGTGGATCTTTTTTTTATATATTTTATTCTGTATATTTCACTACACGCGTTTCAAGCCTTGTGACCGTCTTCAGGCAAAGAATGGTTATTTCCATATATTATTTAAAGGAATTAATTTTTTTTCTTTCTATGTTAAATCTCTTAACCTTTGTCTTTTGTGTGTAGTAGTACTCATCTGAATCCAACTTGGACTGGGCGAAAAATGTT